CCGACAGAACCCGGCAGGACGAACGGGGCAGACCGCAAACGCCCGTCGGATGACGTCACCCGGTGCGCGGTGCACCGCATCTGGGCTGACCTGGGCTGGGCTGCGTGGTCGGCAGGCGTCGAACCCTTCTTGGACCCGGAGCCCATCGAGCACAGCAAGCCAGCAGTCTCTCCTGCGCGGCGCTGTTCTGGGGTGAAGAAGGAACGTCGTTCGCATCGGTGTCCAGCAACGGCTCGCCGACGCTCCACAGCTCTGCAGGGCAGAGGGCGTGTAGCGTCTGGCCCTGACCGACCCGCCGAAGCGGCTGGAACCGCTGCGCATGGCTACAGCGCCGCAGATGACCTGTCTTGTTCGGGTGGGGTGTTCCCGGGAGGTAAGTGTGTGCGCTCGCGCGCATTCACATCGTCCTTGACCTTTCACGGTGGCGGCGGATGGATGGCAGTCGGGTGTCTCATCGGAGATAGGTGCTTCAGCTTGCCTACGTTGTGCATTTTCACCGATCAGCGAAAATGACGCCGCCAGCTTCAGATCGAGCGTGATGAACATCACGTTAATGGCGATTTCACTGCCACAGATAAGCACCAGTAAAGGCGGTTCATCACAATTTGTTCGATTCGTCCAACTCTCAACACTTCCGATCCAGCTCTAGTCCAGGCCTTCACATGCGAGGGTACCGCTTGGGAACAGCATGCCCTGGGCTAGGTTTGGACAATCACCGCAATGAAACCTTGCTTTGCACGTGTTGGCGTTCATATAGGAAAACCTTACTTTTTTGGAATGCGCATCGCCACGGCTTGTCAGATAGCAAGCTCCACGCCAGAATGCGCAACACCCCGCCGGCTGTCACCGCAGTTACAGTTCTTTCACTGGCAAAATGTGTACAAGCTTGCGAACAAAAACAGACTGTCACGGCTTACGCAAGGTCTACTTTGGATTCGTAACACCCCTGGTCGGGAGGTAACTGCCGCTGTCTGCGCCCCATCCGGCCACAGGTTTAGAGTAACAGTGCGGGACGAGTATTTTGTACATGGCCTTCTTTGAGATCCCCACTCGTTTCCCAGTTCGTGTTTCCCAGATCCTGCCGTCATTTTACGGATCTATTGAACCGACCGGACCTGCTGGCAACTTGGTGCGGCCGCGTGGTCCATAATCCATCGGTAGTGCGGTGCGTAGTAGTTTTGGGAATGTTTGCACCACACACGTGGTGTATTTGCAAGTGGTTATGCTCAAATCGTTCGGCATTTCAATGTAACTAGCCGAGGGACCGACTCGTGGCCTGAGTCAAATTGTGCGTTTCGCTAAGGATCTTGCCCACATTTTTTAACGAACGAAAACTTCCTTTTACTTGTGCATCGCTTATCAAAAACTCCTTCACTTCAGCGCCACAGCAGTCATGGTCGTCAAATGACGTCAGATGAAGGTGAGCTTTGCGCGATTCGCCTCAAAGAGTTCGTCCAAGCACCAGCGATGGGCGAAAAAATCAAAAGTTCTCTCGATGCTTTCGTCTATAAATCTATCCAAGAGTGAATGGGATATTACGCGAAGTGTTTCTCAGCCCAACGGGTTCTAGGGTCACCGTGCTCATCCTCGTCACCATGCTGACCGACGATCAACAAGATAAGAGGATATTAATGGCTGAGCAGATCATGACCAGACAACGTCAGGACCAAGAACTAGATGACATCAGGTAGGTTGTCAACCCTGGCACAAATTTTGATGATGAGGGGGCCGATAAATGATTGACTTAAAAGATGCAGCTGAATCACGTCGGGTTTTGGAAATAGTAGATGAGAACATGTCCGCTCCTGGGAAAGGCACCACAGATTTCAGCGGTTTTCCCCTTCTCTCGCAAAGGATCGGACGATGGGCCAAACAGGTGACAGAGGCAGGCAGCAGAGAAAGGTTGGGACACAAAGGTATGTGCTGATACCGGTTATTGTCCGATTCATGACCGGTCTGCCGTGATGGACCCAACACGAGGAAGGGCTGGCTGGCCCATATAGCGGCCTCACCTGCGCAGTGAGCGCCAAGTTCGGTTGGTCGGTCACGCAGTTCACTTTTCGGCATGAAAGGGTTTCACTTTAAAGGTCTATGTCGGCCACCGTCCATTAGCCACACATAACCGCCCCGCGGATTCGCCGGCCATCTGAGATCACCCTCGGCCAGGTGGCGCGCATGACATCAGCCACTCGGATAGGTTACGTACAGTTTCTAGAATAATCCCTGTCTAAGCCTAGCCACATGTCAACCCGATCACTCAGAATATGCTGTCTGTTCTGCCGTAACCTAGAACAGTGCGTACCGGCCGAAATGTCATTCGATACTGGTTTTTTTAAAAGTAATCTTCAGCGCCATATCAACCGTCTCTTGCACCATATAGTTCCTCGGATCACAAGCCGAAATTGGCGATCACTGTTTGAAACTGGCTCAGCCAATAGCCCGCTAGCGTATCGTATCAACTACCGGATTATTGGTAGACGAGCCCCGCCCACTGGAATGCTAGGCTATTTCATATCAGCTACTGACCGGTATAAAGTGTTACATTAGCCGCGCGTCTGTAGCCTGGCCGCGGTCTTCAATATGTTCCTAAGGCTTAAAATATAAGCAGCCGGAAAGATATTGTGCGCTTTCCATTTATACCTGAAAAGCGCGTCAATGGAGACAATGGAGACAAGGCAATGGAGACAATCACCTCTGATGAATTACAGGAATCGTCACGGTAGCCCCATCAGATGACGACCCACTTCAAGGCATGTATCACTGTGATCTAGCTGGCTGACTTGCATCAAACTTTAGAAATATTTACTGTGCTATTCCCCAGTTTCTTAGACAAATGACTGCGCTTAGCAGCTCGGTAGCCCAGACCTGGCTACGGAGCGAGCGTAGCCTTGGCAGCGCGTGTTCGAATGGCCTCGATGGCTCTTTGCAGCGCTTCCCTTTAAAAGCAGTCACCCGTCATAAATTCGCATGCTTAAAATACATCAGAATTCGCTAAATCCCCATTGGCTCGCACATTAACTCAAAAAACTCAATCACTAACACGATACCGCCCGAGCTGCGCGCCGCCACCTCCACCGACGTCCTGCTGACTACCGAGATGTAAAGCGTTTTGCGAGCCCAATAGTTGACAAATGACGTCACACCTTCCGTATCACGAATCCATCATGGCCGCCAGACCAATCATAGAACAGGATTTCAACTACC